TACATAAAAATTTTATTGGAATATAGCAATGCTCATTGGTCAACATATTGTCTATGGATACTTTATTGCTTCAATAACAGAGTTGGGGAGTTGCAACAAAGAACTTATGGGAGGAAAAGCCTAAAATATTTACTATCTGGTCCTTCACAGAAAACTTCTGCTGACCCCTGAGCTAAATTCTCGAGGTTATTTTGTTCTATTGCATCTGTATGATGTGCTACTACAATTTCATCCCAACTGTGCACTCACTGACATCACATTGACAGCTCGAAATCAACCATGGTTTCACACATGGGAGAATATTTACCCCACAGAAACTGGCAGTTGCTATGAATTTGCCTGCCTGCCTGCCTGCCTGCCTGCCCTCCTCTTTTCTTCCCTTTTTCCCTTCCTTTCATTCTTCATCAGAAAACAGTTACTAAACATTTACCAGCATACCACTGTCTACTTCATAGGGTTATTGAGGAGAGCGTAAATGAGATAGTATGAAATTTTTAGTTCATAATAAATAGTAAGTGGTAGCTGTTTATTTTAATAGTACTTATCCAGGAGAGAATTTATTCCCTTGTTCTCTCTGGATCAATAGTCCTGGAATACTTGCCTTTTCTGGCTCATATCGGAAACACTAAAAACTCCACAAATATAGCCAGCATTTGAATAGTTTTGACATGTTGCCTACTTGCAGTTGACTAGGACATGCTTTTCTCAAATATGGTCTCAGATTGAGCAGAATGGATGAAGTGAAAAGGAACAATGATTGTACTTGAGAGTAGACCTGAAGTATGTAGAAGAGAAACAAGCCCAAAGTAATGAACTCCTGGCAAACCAAACTTTCCTCCATTTTCCTGCCAACAACAGTCGTTGAACCATCATGGACATTGATTCATCAGGTCCCACACTGCACTGGCCTAAGGGATATGGAGATGAAAAGAACAGGGTCTCTGCTTTGAAATGTTTATAGCTAATGAGGGCCACATGATACACATGTGTGACTAGATACAACACAATGTGACCAAGCTCCACAGAGGTGTGAGTTACTATGGGAGCACTGAGGAGGCAGCAGCTGGTGCTGTAGAAGAAAGTGGTCAAGGAAGATTTCACTGAGAGAATCAACTTAGAGTTGAATCTTCAAGGACTCGACTTGGTGCTTCCTAGGTTGGGTGATGTAAGGAAAGAGAAGAAAAGAGGACATTGTGGAAAGGGAAAAGTGTGTATAGTGGCCAAGAGGCAAAATAAGAGGGACTTGGTCAAGGGAAGGGCATTCATTGGTATGACTATGACTATAATACTGAATGGATCTGAGAGGTGGTGAACGGGATAGATATAGGGATGGATTTGAGAGAAATTTAAGACACTGAATTTTTGGGACCTGTTTAAGAATATGGAGACTGGTAACATAGGAATGGTAACAGAAAGATTGGGGTTGCTGGCTTAGCTACCTGGGAGTAGAGATCAAGACTGGGAATGATAACCTGATGACCGTGAAGGCGGCAATAGCTATTCTATACTGAGTGCTTACTTGGTATCCATTTTCAGATGAGAAAAACGAAATAAGTTTACTATGATCACATAATTAGCAAAAGTGGAAGGCAGAATTCAAAGTCCTTGTTTTACCCCCTTTACAACTCCCAATATTGTAAGAGAAACAATATTTGAATTTAAAGTGTAGAGTTGCCATCTTCATGGTATCAAGTCATCACTCCCAACTAGTTAAACCAGAAACCTGTGTCCTAAGAAGTATGAAATGCAGGTCCAGATCCACCCAGGAGGATGCCCGAGTTAGAGATGGAGATCAGGGTCATCCCAGAGAGGGTGGTCATTGAAGCTCAACTTGCTGTTCCTCTCTTTTCCCAGAGCCTTCAAAACAAGTGACCCCAGTGAACTAATTAGTAGCATCACCTGCCCAAAACTGGTCACTAATATTACTTTACACCTGGTTAGCACGTCATGGTATAACTGTACTGCCATATGTGTATCTCACTTGATCCTCACAGCAATTCTAATTTAACAGACAAGAGAGCTATCATCCTCACTCTACAGATGAAGTACCCAACCTAAGGTGCCCACAATAGCAGTGGGTAGTGCCAGGGCAGATCGTGGGTCCTCTGACTGCTACTCCTCTCTAGCAAAGGTTTCTTTGCAATGTTTACTTTTACCCGAACTTGCATTTTTCAAAAAGCAGTTATGAACCTCATCTCACCTGGGTCCATGGATCTTTAAATTCTGGATTGGAGAGGAATAAGTGGGGCTGATGAGAAATAGAGAGCAGTAAATTATGATAAGCTTGTTGAGGACAGAGCTCCAAGTCACTCCCTTTCCCTGAAAGCAGGCATTTTTTGAGCCTGTAATTAATCAAACAATATTGTAATATTATATTATTTTTTGAAGCTTAAAATATGATGATGCAATATCTCTAAAGAATTAGCAGAGATGTTTGCTAATTGAGTTACTTAGTCGTACTTTAGTCTACCAACCAAATGTTCTCATTTTCTTTTTTCCTTTTTGGGACACAGGCTAACAGACTCCTTCAACTACAACAAGCCGCAGAATTTTATTTGATGCAGATTGTTGAAATTCATACCTTCGTGGGCATTGCCAGTTTTGATAGCAAGGGAGAGATCAGAGCCCAGCTGCACCAAATTAACAGCGATGATGATCGAAAGTTGCTGGTATCCTATCTGCCTACCGCTGTAACAGCTAAAACAGAAGTCAGCATCTGTTCAGGGCTTAAGAAAGGATTTGAGGTACAGTAGAGCATCCTAAGCCTTGGATCACCATTATTTTCCTTTCCCTTATTTGATAATATAAGGTTTCCTCTGATGAGGGGCAGTCCGTTACAGCGTGGTCATAATAGCCTCAACTATGAAAGTAGTGCTGGATTATCTTTCAAGTCAGGAACCATGCCTTATCACCATTGCACTCTTTGTGCCTAGCAAAGTACCTAGCATACATTAGTTGCTTAATAAATGCTTGTTGACAGAATGAGCAAATCAGTGAATACAATGACCAAGACTAGGGGACCTAAACAACATCTGAGCATTTTCTAAACTGTTCCCAGCCATTCTGGGACTGTCTCAGCTGTGGCCATGTTTATCCCTAGATTTTCTTGTGGAAATCAGCGTGTCTGGCTTCTGTCGATAGTCATTCTAGACTTCAAGAATATCAGAACCAGTTAAGGCCAGAGGTATGTTTCAGGAATGACAGAGTTTATCTAAACCAACACAAGTTTGAATTCAGCATCTGGGATGCTTATGTAATAGCAAACAAGACACATCAGCTATGATTGTTGCTGCCCTTAGTCTAAACTTTGGCTATCTATTGAAATCACCTGGGAATTAAAAAATATACTAATTCATGAGTCTTACCCCGAGAGATTCTGATTTAATTGATCTAGGATGTGACCTGACCATTAAAATTTTTTAAGTCTCCCCGTCTGATTCTAACATGTAGCCAAGACTGAGAACCACTGCCCTAGGCCCTCTTATTGGTCAAATAATAGTGTACCCCATAGCCTCTATAATGGACACAATTCTAAACTATGGGGACATCTTGATGATTCAAGTAGGAAAATTCCCTGCTCAAAAGCAAACTGGCAGCAGAACGTAGGGTGACAAGTGCTGTGACGGGGTGAGGTAAAGCCTGCGTGGGAATGGGCATGCGGTGTAGGGAGCTATGGCAGGAATTCTGATGAGAGCGAATTCTTCTGCTCAATAAAACAATTTGAACTGCGTTTCCTTCCAAGTGACTAATTCTCTATGTTTAGGTGGTTGAAAAGCTGAATGGAAAAGCTTATGGCTCTGTGATGATATTAGTGACCAGTGGAGATGATAAGTTTATTGGCAATTGCTTACCCACTGTGCTCAGCAGTGGTTCAACAATTCACTCCATTGCCCTGGGTTCATCTGCAGTTCCAAATCTGGAGGAATTTTCACATTCTACAGGTAATAAACTTCTATAAACGCATCTTTCAGAGAATGTCCTTTTAACTTGAATATCCAAGACACAACCGTGAAACTCATTGTAAGTTTCACGGTTGTGTCTTGGATATTCAGTTTTTTGCACACACACACATTTTGCTTTTTAAACACACATACACACATATTGCTAAAATCTGTCAAAATTTTGCTGATTTTCTTTTTTACATTTTCCCTAAAGGTCCTAATTACATACATCCAAAAAATAATATTTTATAATTCTGTGTTAAGCCAGTCTGAACATGCATAATCATGAAGCTAAAATGTATATTTAAGAGGAAATACTCTGTGGCTGGGTGTGGTGTCTCACATCTGTAATTCCAGCACTTTGGAAGGTTGAGGTTGGCGGATCACTTGAGGTCACAAGTTTGAGACCAGCATGACCAACATGGTGAAACCCCACTTCTACTGAAGATACAAAAATTAGCCGAGGATGGTGGCAGGCTCCTATAATCCCAGCTACTAGGGAGGCTGAGTCAGGAGGATCACTAGATCCCAGGAGGCAGAGGTTGCAGCGAGTTGAGATTGCACTACTGCACTACAGCCTGGGCGACAGAGTGTGACTCCATCTCAAAAAAGAAAAAAAGATTTAATGCACTAATTTCTAAAATAGCAACACACACAGTGTTTTAAGATACATGTCTTTTTATACTAAATGAGGCACAGAATAATTTTATCTTATATTCCTTATTCAATAAAAAATGGGCATGCTGATTTGACAACTGAAAGGTTTTACTGAATTATCTTTAAAAGCAATGTTTTCACAATATAAATGTAAACATATAGAAATGTAAATAGTAATTAACTGAATTATCTAAAAATTACCTTAATCTTAAGACTATTTAATAAATGTATATTGAGTTCTTATATACTGTGCATAAGTTCTATGCCCCGGCAATACAGCCATGAATAGAAAACCTGAAACCACTCACCTAGGGCCACTTACCATGTGGTTGTACAGAATGTCAGGCAAAGCAAGTCAAGCACAGCTCCCATTTCCCCCAAAACACTGTAATGTAAAGAAAGTTTGTTGGAAAAGGCCTAACATTTTATTTTTATTTTATTTTACCCATTTTAATGGTTAACATCCCTCCCATGTATTTCAGGAGGTTTAAAGTTCTTTGTTCCAGATATATCAAACTCCAATAGCATGACTGATGCTTTTAGTAGAATTTCCTCTGGAACTGGAGACATTTTCCAGCAACGTATTCAGGTCAGAATTTTCTCCGTGTTATATTTCCTGGTGGGGAATGGGAAGGGAGAAGGAAACAAAGGAAATCAACAAATTGTGCTACCAGCTTCATTAGCCTTACTTGAATATGTAACGGCCTGTGTATGGAAGGCTTTTAAAAGGCTGCTTGACATCACCAGGGCCAGGCTTTCAGCCCTAGGAGCCATTTTCCACAATCACCACCTCAGCTTTTCAAAGTCTGTGAGTGGAGCTTGCTCCTTCCTTGTGACTCAACATGCAGGTGGGGGTGTGGTGGAGGCCAGGTGCAGAAGAAAACTAAGAAACTGTGAATTTAGTTTTAGTGTCATACTGACTTTCCATCAATCAGAATTCATCTTATTTTTGCTTCTTCAACATCTTTGAAGCTCTTCCTTGTATAAGGGGTATCAACTATTTCATTAAATTCTAACTACCACAAGTATCTAAATATCTCTTTGACTACCACAGCTTATATAATTTTACTCATAAAAGCTTCCTCTAATTAAACCATTTTTAGAGGGCCATTTTTTTCTAAGTATTTTAAAGATAATTTGGACATAAGTGAATAATGCTTTGAACAAAATTTCATCTATAGTTTCCTCACAGATGGCAAGTGTACCTGCCAAGTTAATGGCTTAATGTGACCAATGCAACCTGTCAATTCTTGTTGGGAAATATTTAACATGATGATTGTATTTACACAGTAAAGGCAATAACCACAATTTCACAATAAAAAGTAAAAATGTGAATTATAGATGACAACATCTAGTACAGATTAGGCCACAGTTGACTCTTCTGATAATGCTCAATCTTTATGCCCTGTGACTTCCTCTTCAATAATATGGAATAAAAACAAATGTTTAAAAAAGTAAAAAACAAATTTAACAAAATATTACTCATATGGGATCAAATTATCATTAACATTCCCAAACTGGTCCCCTCCCATGAAGCTGTTGGAGTCATTAGCCCCACTAGTCTGAGATGGGAACTATATGTAAATCCCCTTCAACAGCCGAGGGCCCAGCCCAGGTCCCAGCACAGCATGTGGCACAACAGTCAGCAATCCACAAATATTTCTTAAATTGATTTGAACAAACAATCCACCATGTCTTTGCCGTTACCCACCAATATAATTTTACATGCTTTGCAGGTTTGAGCAATTTAATGAAGCATTACTAATGTGTTTATTTAATAAGTGTGAGTTTTCAAAGTTACTTACAGACTTGTATCCATTGCAAATACGTAGTGATTAAATGCAGGGGCTCTGGTGTCGGGCCCACTGGGTTTTATCACATTCCGATTCCTTGCTATGTGACATCAGCAAATTATTTCTCTAAGCTTACTCTTCTCATCTGCAAAATGTGGATAACAATATTTATCACAGAGGAGTTTTATAAGGCTTGAGTAACATTGTGAAGCCTTTAGCACACTGCCAGGCATGTTTGCACTCTGTACATGTTACACATGCATGCGCACGCACATGGCTTATTGTGAATGACTAAATAATTTTTTTTTTTTGAGACCGAATCTCACTCTGTCACCAAGGCTGGCATGCAGTGGCACTATCTTGGCTCACTGCAACCTTCACCTCCCTGGTTCAAGCAATTCCCCTGCCTCAGCCTTCCAAGTAGCTGAGATTACAGGTACATGCCACCACGCCTGGCTAATTTTTTTGTATTTTTAGTAGAGACCATACTGGCCTCGAACTCCTGACCTCAGGCGATCAGCCCACCTCAGCCTTCCAAGGTGCTGGGATTACAGTCATGAGCCACTGCACCTAGCCTAAATAATTTTTTAATGTAATTAAATCGTGCCGAAGCCCAAGATTTTATTTCTTATCAAAATATATAAAAGGATCTGGACAGATTATATATAAATTAATAAAATTTGAGCATATTCACAAATGAAAATTTTTAAATCTTGTTATTATAATTGCTGATCTGAGGCCAATGCTGGTTTGGATGAGAGATAATATGAGGACAGCTAAAATCTCTTAACCAAGAATAATGAAATGATACTTGCATTAACTACAACAACATATTTTATACCTACTGTACTTAAATAACATGCAATATTTTGCTTTGCAAAGTATTTTTACATGAAAAATTATGAATAACCATAGTACCTGTCAGAATTAAATTATTTTTATTTTTACCAATTCATTGCTGTTTGTTATAAGTGAAAAAGATGGAACGATTATGCATACGCCAGAAACTCTCATATGTATCATCTCTTTAACAGCTTGAAAGTACAGGTGAAAATGTTAAACCTCACCATCAATTGAAAAACACTGTGACTATGGATAACAGTGTGGGCAATGACACTGTCTTTCTAGTTATGTGGCAGACCAGCAGTCCTCCTGAGATTATATTATTTGATCCTGATGGAAGAAAATACCACACAAATAATTTTATCACCAATCTAACTTTTCGGACAGCTAGTCTTTGGATTCCAGGAACAGCTAAGGTGGGTGTTATGAGCTTGTTCCTAAGGAGAACATTCAGCCAAGTTTGTGATTTTCAGTTGAATCACGATTAAATACATTGTGTAAAGAAAACTTGTTTTAATATATCAAACGTTTACTTTAAACTTATGAGGCCATTTTGTGAATATTAAAAGTTTAAGAGGAATAACTAAGGTATATTTCCAATTTTAAATATTAGATACCATATATTTCAACACTGGAAATTAGTATTTCTACTAGTATTACAATTATTTTTTTTCTAGCCTACATCTTTCTTTACATAATCCATATAAACCATCTTTCTTTTTTTGAAACAGAGTTTAGCTCTTGTTGCCCAGGCTAGAGTGCAATGGTGCAGTTGTGGCTCACCGCAACCTCCGCTTCCTGAGTTCAAGCGATTCTCCTGCCTTGGCCTCCCTAGCAGCTGGGATTTTAGGCATGCGCCACCAAGCCCAGCTAATTTTATATTTTTTTTTAGTAGAGACAGGGTTTCTTCATGTTGGTCAGGCTGGTCTCGAACTCCCAACCTCAGATGATCCACTTGCCTCAGCCTCCCAAAGTGCTGGGATTACAGGCATGAGCCACCACATCCAGCCATAAACACACTTTTCTAAATGCTTACCAAAAACCTTTATTTAGAATTTATAATATGAATACGTGCAATGCATATGATTTTTAGCATCTACTGGGTGTGCTGGGTCTTGTTCTAAGTACTTTACAATAAAATGCCATTGTAAGAGTATAAACAGGGTACTATCAGAACATAAAAGAAGGTGGGAGGAAGAATGCTTCCTAGAAGTGAGGACATCAAAATGGAAACATAGAAATAATTGGGCCAGAGGTGGGTATGATATTCTGGGCAGAGGAAACTGCACATAGACTCAGATAAAAAGACCATGGCTGTTCACAGAACTAGAGTAGTTCAATGGAGTAGAGTAATCCATAAGGTAAGGATGTAGACGAAGGAAGGAGAGAGGAGTAATGAGGCTAGACAGATAAACGGGAGCTGTATTAGCAAGGGCTTTGCACAACAGTAAAGGGAAGAGGGGCTTGAATCCTGAAAGTGAAAGGGAACCCTTAATGGTTCTAATCAGAGTTGTAAATTGATCAGATTCACTCTTGCACTGCCTGAATTCTGCACCTCCTCATATGCTGCCCCATCCCATTTCTTTTTTTTTTTTTTTTTTTTGGAGATGAAGTCTTGCTCTGTCGCCCAGGCTGTAGTGCAGTGACATGATCTCAGCTCACTGCAACCTCCACCTCCCAGGTTCAAGCGATTCTTCTGCCTCAGCCTCCCGCATAGCTGGGACTACAGGCACTTGCCACCATGCCTGGCTCATTTTTGTATTTTTTGATAGAGATCCAGTTTCACCATGTTGGCCAGGCTGGTCTCAAACTCCTGACCTTAAGTGATCCGCCTGCCTCAGCCTCCCAAACTGGTAGGATTACAGGCATGAGCCACCACACCCACCACCTTCTTGATGGCCCCTTATCTAGCCACCTTGACTCCGAACTGCCATCCCTCCAGTCCATTCTTTACCTCTGTCAAAGTGATCTTTCTGAAGCACAAATCAGCCTGTCTCTTGTTCAAAAACTCCTTGGTGGTGACAGAATAAAATCCAAGTGGAAACTCTTACATAACGGGCCCTTTATGTTTTGGCTTCTATCCAAGCCTCTCTCTTAACTTCTTTGATGCTCTGCTCCTATTGAATTTTTCTTCAAATTCATCATGTTCTTTTCACACCTGTGCATAAGGGCCAGGGACACTTTACCTACTTCTTTCTCCCCTTGCCTGACCTCTTGGTCTGGATTAGATGCCCTGTATCAAAACATTTATTACATTCAGAGAACTTTTTGATGTGGAGTTCCTGCCATGCATCTGTTACTAATGTTATCGTTCCATAAAAAGAACACATAGTGCCTGAATCATGACATACTGAAACATAGTAAAGCTCTTGAATCCCAGTGAAGAAAGATGGCTAGGGTCTGGTGCATCCTAACTCTCCACCCTGAGCTACATTTCAACCCCTCGCTTTTCTGTTCTTCCTTCTGCTTTGTTGTATTTCTCTGGTTACTTCTGGGGGTTTGATAAGTAGCAGCAGCAGAAGTCAGGAAAAAGCAATATCAAAAGGACAAATTTCTGCTATATTGTTATTTTGGTCTTTTTCTTTCAGATCTTCTCTTGTAGGTTTTTCCCAGGCAGATAGGCAAGAGTGGTGTTTACCAGTATTTCTATAAATTACTCAACTTGAATATTGTGTAATCCTGGCCTATTAAAAATTGTAGATCCTTTTCTTGGTCCCTAATAGGGTATGTAATTTTTGTTGCTTGGGATTTCTGAGTGTGGAGTTTTGTGGGAAATGGAATGAAAGAAGGATATTGTTGCCCTTTTAGTCCATGGTGTCCACATAAATTATAATGGTCCACTCAATTTGATGTAATTTTCTTAGTTTGAAAATTTAAAATACTTACATTGCTGTTTGAGGAAAGGGCTCAAATTAATATCTGTAAAGTACTTTGAAGCTGGAGACTGTTGTTACTTTCTAAAAATGGGGATCAAGACGTGTCCTCCCTCACTCCAAATAAATCCAAGGTGTAATTCCCTAAAGAATTACCTTCAATAAAGGTGACTTATGCTATGAAAGCCATGAAAATATGAATTTATTCATCCCTTAGCCAGTGCTACTTTTCCTGTTATTTTTTGTAGTGTTTTAAAAAGTGCATCATCAACAAAACCAGAGCAAAATTCTCCAGAAGCTTAGATGTATGCTTTAGAAATAGGGTTGATTTCCTTTCACCCTTTCCAAACAATAAGACTTGTTTTGCAGGCTGGGCACTGGACTTACACACTGAACAATACCCATCATTCTCCGCAAGCCCTGAAAATGACAGTGACTTCTCGTGCCTCCAGCTCAGCTGTGCCCCCAGTTACTGTGGAAGCCTTTGTAGAAAGAGACAGCCTCCATTTTCCTCATCCTGTGATGATTTATGCCAATGTGAGAAAGGGATTTTATCCCATTCTTAATGCCACTGTTACTGCCACAGTTGAGCCAGAGACTGGAGATCCTGTTATGCTGAGACTTCTTGATAATGGAGCAGGTAACAAGGAATGTCATGACATTTTATCATGTTCTCAACAGCTGCTATGATATGATGGGGTAGTATCAATATTAAGCTTATCTGTAAGATTCCTTCAGTTCAATTATCTTTCTTAATCTTACAATATTTTCAAATTCTTATAGAATTACTGATATCCTGAATAGCTACAGGGTGACAGGGAAAAAGAAAGTCCTCATGAGTCTCCTTGTAGTGTCTGTGTTTGAGCAAAGGGTGGGAGGCTGGGCACCTTAGTCCTGGCTTCCACTTGATGATGTCATACAGGAACAGGCTTCTATGTCCTTATGACATACTTATTTTCCTCTAAGAGTCACCAGCTTTACTCTTCACTGAAGTAATCAGATTGGACTGTTAAAATAGCAAATGAAAATCAGAAGGGAGGTGCAGTGACAGCAAGCCCACTTTCCCTTTGGACCAAATTGTGAAGAAAAAATTGGAAAGTGAACTTGTGACTTATAAGTTGACCCTAGACCCAAGAGGCTGGGTTGATGAAAGGGCACAGCTCATTTCTAGCACAGTCAATGCATTTTACATGTGTAATTTGGTCGCAAGAAGACCCAGCCTGCAAGCCTAGTGGAATCAGAATAGAGAAAAGCTCTCATTCTGCACATACAGTGTTCAGAGACTTTTATACATTATACATAACAGACAGTACAGCATCCAGCCAGGTAAATAGCAGCATTTGGGCTCTTTTAAAAACAAATTCCTGTGTTGTTCCATCTTTCCTATTTGGTTATTTTCCTAAATTACATTCTCAGAATGGCAGTAGGCCTGCCTTGGTTGGCAGCCCAAAGTATTTGATCTACTAACAAAAGTATATTCTTTTGCCCTGTTTTTTCAAAGTTAATCTTTTTTCAAGAGTCTTAGGTTTGGCATCCCATTAGTATCTTGCCATGGCAATCACATATGATGTGCAGGAAAACAAAAGTTCTTTCAAAGGGTTTTGGTTCAAGTCCACCTCAGGGGGATACCAGAGAAGTCTTCTTGTTTTGCCCATTGGATTGTATCCAAATGAACTTCTCATGCTCTGATTGCTTATCCATGGCTTTCATTTTTTGTTTATGGTCCAAAAATGCACTTTTGCAGAATGTTTCTCCCTTGCCCCAGCCTGTGGGCTGGCCTGGAGAACAGATCCTACTCTCCTAGGGAAAATCGTCTGAAACAGCTCAATAGGTTTTTATATTATTCTCTGGAACTATTTTATTTGTTTAATATCTAAATGTATACCCTAAAAAAAGAAACAATAAAAAATACTGCTCAGGCATCAAAATGTAAATTATTTCCTCTCCAATCAATGCTTAATATACATGTACATAGTTGTTTAATACTATTTTTATAATGAAAGCAATATTTTACTGCTCAGTAAATGAGCTATAATAAAATCTATACTTCTGAAATGATTTACAATTTAAAATGTACTTTTTGGTGCATATTCTAAAATAATCATCACAAAAACTCTGCAAGGTAATTTATCTCCATTTTATAGATGAGAAAACTGAGGCTCAGAGACATGAAGCCTCATAGTTACTAAGTGACAGATACAGGCCTTCAAACCAATTCCTCTGTCTCCTAAGCCAAGGTTCTTTTTCTATTTCTGTCTTCCTCAGTGATTAAAAGAGGTGGCAGTGGTGACTTTAATATGGAGAGGTTTTCTTTTGTAATTTCTCAACAAAGACAAACCTTATTAATCATTAAACCACTAAATATCAACATTTGATTTCTTACAACAGACAAAAAAGAATTTTAAATCTACCTTGATAATAAAATGTTTTGCACTTCTGATTTGATTTAAATATACTCCTACTTTTCTTATGTTAAGGAGCCCTGCCTTTGCAGTGGGGAAGAGGGAGATTCTGGGGGGCACTTTAGCAATGATACACTGCTGGTGGGCAGGTCTGTGTCTGTGGTATGAGAACTGCATTGACCTCTAGGATAGACGACAAGCTGCTTGCCCAATATAGCCACCTACAATTGAATGGCCAATGTGATCTGCACTTGGGCTAAGCTGGACTTCCCTCTGCTGCTCTGGCGTCTAAGCCTTCCTGCCATTGAGTCATGAAGTTGGCTTGAAATTGAACTGCTCTCTGAAGATCAATGCAAGAGGAAGAAAGTACAGCACTGGCTAACCTTTCAGAATGCCCCCTGAAGCAAGGCACAGTGGACGCAAGCAAATTCTGTCAAGCTCCAGGTCATCAGGCCCCCTAGAATCTAAAAAAAAAGTTCCAAATTACCCTCTAATGAGGAAATTAAGTAATTTCACACTATTTTATAAACTATCAAAGTTTTTATTTATTAGAGGTCCTTAATCAAGTGACTTCAAGACATTCATATAACCCTTGGGACTATATGAAAATGTGCATATGTGCATATATATTTATTTCCTAGAGACAAAAGAGATTTTATTAATATCTCAAAAGGGTCTATGACTATAAGCAACCCTAAGAATGTGCTTGATTACTAGAAAAAACTACTATTATTTTCAATGATAAGAACAAGAATGTTAAAGGTGATTATTAAATGTTTTATTAGCATGGTACACCCTTAGAAAATCATTTTTCTGAGATAAGAAATTTTAGGGAGAAATTATGGACCCACTGGGTTTTTCATCACCTCAGAATATAAAAAGTAGGTAAGAGCATGATAATATATCCTCTATAGAAATAATAAGGAGAGTAAATCTCATTTTAATGACTTAAATATTAGTAATCTATTATGATAACAAATATTGACATTGTGTGTTTTTTATATATACAGGTGCTGATGTTATAAAAAATGATGGAATTTACTCGAGGTATTTTTTCTCCTTTGCTGTAAATGGTAGATATAGCTTGAAAGTGCATGTCAATCATTCTCACAGCATAACCACCCTAGCCCACTCTAATCCAGGGAGTCATGCTATGTATGTACCAGGTTACACAGCAAACGGTAAGAACCATTAGCACTGTTATTTGAGTAATATCATTTCTTGTACATACCTCTGATGGGTGTATGTATGTACTGGGGTGGCAGGGAGTAAAAGAGAATTTCAAAACTCTTTATGCTTAAGTCCATGAGTAATTTGTGAACTGTTTCTTCAATCCTCATTGATTCATGGTAGTAACAGGAAGGCAACAGGTAATGCCCACAGATTATACTTACCTTCATTTCAGTCATTATGTTGACTTTTTTCTTGTTTCATCAGAATTACTAACAGATAAAGAGATTTTTTGGGTTTTCTCAGTTTCTGCTTCTGTGTTTATTCTGTAGAGGTTTAGGCAAAAGAAAGAGGCAAGAAGTTATTAACAGTTGAAAGAAGGAGGCCAACAGCTGAAACAGTCAAACAGGAAATGAGTTCCTAGATAAGTATGAGCTTGGATGTTACAGACGACTAAGTGATTCCTGAAGATAATTCTGTTTTCCTTCAAGATAAAAGTGAAAAATAAATGGAAGATACATATCTTTTTAACACCATTATAACAGTTCCTGATAGGAAGCAGTGTTTAAAGTGTAATAGACAAACAGAAACATATTATGCTATAGTCTTTAAAAAACAATCTCAAAAAAGACTTCTAAGCATTCTTATTTCAAAAAATGCAGATTCTTTATAAATATTATTCATGTATTTTAGAAGTTACAACTAATCGTTTAGACTATTCCATAACATGATTCTGTTTTTCAATCTTTATTCTTCCTGACCTCACCAGTATCTGACACAGCCATTGATCTCTCCTTTGCCATTTCCTGGTTTCTGTGATAGCTCACTCTTCTGATTACCTTTTGTTTTCTGGAATTTTTTATCAGGCTTTTTTTTTCCAGCTCCTTTTTTTCTACCAGGCCTCTAAATGTTGGCAATTCTCAGAGCTCAGTCCAAACCTTCTTACTCTACCATCTGGAGCCACATTGCCTGGTTTTGAAACCCAGCTCCTCCATTTACTAGCTGTGTGACTTAGAGCAAGTGACTTAGCTTCTGTGTATCTTAGTTTCATCATCTAAAAAAATAGGGGTAATAATTGTACCCTTCTCATAGCCTTGCAGGGAAAATTAAATATTTGATGCATGTAAGGCCTTAGAAAAGTGCCTGCACATAGTAGGCACTCAATAAATATTACTTATCATTACAGTAAAAATTATTTTAGTTAATCTCTTTAATCCATATGCCTTTAATAACATCTATCTGTGTATAACCTTTAAATTCATAACTTTAAAATTATTAAATTTTGCAAAAATTTGTTTTTTAAGCTTAAAATCCATATCTAAATGGCTCATTAACATCCTGAATTAGATGTTTTACAGGAATCACAAACCTTGTAATTTAATTTTTGGTCTTTTCTCCTTAGCCTGCTTATCCTCCCAGCCTGCTCATTTTAGAAACCTGGACACTTTCTTTTTCTTTTAAACCATTTTCTGCTTCTTCACCATTCTATATTCATACCCATCACCAGCTTTTGCTTGACATCTTCAGAACACATCTTGAACTGCCTCTTTCTTGACCTGCTCTCCATGCCATCTCCCATCCCAAGCTGCTCTCATCTAGACTGTTGACTGGCTAAGTGGCCACCTCATTGCTTGCCGTGCTTTAATTCATTCTATACCAAGCAGCCAGAGTGTCCTATTAGAAAGCAAATATAATTTCGTCACTCCCCTGCTTCCCTACAGCACGTAACATTGAAATCTAAAACCGCTACACTGGCCCATGAGGTCCAGCGCAAACTTCTCTCCTGCCTCATACCAAATGACTCTCTTTGCTTTTTTAAAATTTAGCTTTTTTTTTTTTTTTTGAGATGAAGTCTCCCTCTGTCAACAGGCTGGAGTGCAGTGGTGTAATCTTGGCTGGCTGCAAACTCCACCTCCCGGGTTCAAGTGATTCTCCTGCCTCAGTTTCCCAAGTAGCTGGGACTACAGGAGCACACCACCATGTCCAGCTAATTTTTGTATTTTTAGTAGAGATGGGATTTCTCCATGTTGACCAGGATGGTCTTGATCTCTTGACCTCAAGTGATCTACCTGCCTCAACCTCCCAAAGTAAATTTAGCTTTTTTAACTTGAAACCTCTTTTCACCTCAGGGTCTGCTGTTCTCTCTGCCTGGAATGTTCTTCCCACCCTTCTTTATCTGGCCAATTCCTACTCAATCTTTAGGAAACCTTTCAATGTTACTTCCTTGATACCACTCTAAATTATAGATCCATGTTATTTTCTTTCATAGCATCCTGCCTTCTTTCCTTCTTACACTTATCATACTTTGTAGATATATGTTTATTAATATGATTAACATGACTATAAATTCCATGAGGGATACTGTTTTGTCTGTAATTATTGGCACAGCATATGCCCTCAGTAAATATTTACCGAGGCCAGGCATGGTGGCTCATGCCTGTAATCTAGCACTTTGGGAGGCCGAGGCGGGTGGATCATCTTAGGTCAGGAGTTCAAGACCAGCCTGGCCAATATGGTGAAACCCTGTCTCTACTAAAAATACAAAAATTAGTGAGGTGTGGTGATAGGTGCCTGTAATCCCAGCTACTTGGCAGGCTGAGGCAGGAGAATTGCTTGAACCCAGGAGGAGAAGGTTCCATCCAGTGAGCCAAGATTACACCACTGCACTTGGGCCTGAATGGCAGGGTGAGACCCTGTATCAAAATTAAATAAATAAATATTTACTGAATAAATGGATGAATTAGTGAACAAAGGATTGTACAAATACACTTAATTTAAAGATGTAGTAAAGAAATAAAGAGTTTAACAAAGACTCATTGTGTCAACAACAAGCTGTTCAGGAGCTTTATAATTTGTTGTTTTACCTATTTTTCTCTTTTGTGTCTCAGGTAATATTCAGATGAATGCACCAAGGAAATCAGTAGGCAGAAATGAGGAGGAGCAAAAGTGGGGCTTTAGTCGAGTCAGCTCAGGGGGCTCCTTTTCAGTGCTGGGAGTTCCACCTGGCCCCCACCCTGACGTGTTTCCACCATGCAAAATTATTGACCTGGAAGCTGTAATAGTAGAAAAGGAAGTGACCTTATCTTGGACAGCACCTGGAGAAGACTTTGATCAGGGCCAGGGTAGGTTAGCTCATTTCCTTACCTATTTTCCCGTAAGACAGCATTTCTAATAACTAGTTAGTTGAGTGAAAATAACTTTGGGGGTTTAGAACTGAAAAAGGTACAGATGATTGTTGTGAAAATCCCGGAGTTACTGATAAGACTTTAAATCCTGGAGTCCCAGAAGGACAGTATTTAGGCTACCCCTGTACTGAGGAGGCCCTGGACAACTCACTGATACTAATCACTCAGAAACCTTGTCTAGAAGCATAAACACCACATGCTTATGTGTGTCTGTTCAGCAGAAATGGGTTCTGCACTACAGAGCATGTGCTTCCCAATACTGGAGGTGATTCGTTTTCTGAAAGTTGGGTAGTGAATATTTATTCATATATTTATCAGTAGGCTTTGGGGAATTTTTTTCATAACTCATGCAAATCTTGGTGCATTTTTGTTTCCTACTTCAGACCATTATTTTTGTTAGGAAGGCTAGGACCAGTCCCTGATTCAGGGGATTCTTATCCTTGCTTGGATAAACATTGACAAAGTACCTTCTTCTACTTTCCCTTGTCTGAGGCTTATGTTAACCTGAAGGCTTCCATCTCCATCATCTTTTTCCAGATTTTTTTACCCAGTTTTCCCACCATTTATTGAGACATTTTTATTTTTCTGCCATTAACTTGAATTCCACCTTTATCATGTACTAAACTTCTGAATGTGTTTTGGCCTATTGTTTGATATGTCTATTCATGCATCAGTAAGTACCACAGCATTTTAATTATTGAGGTATTATAGCATTTGTATATCTGGTAGGGTTAATCCTTCCACATTGGTATTTTTTAGACTTTATATGCTCATTTTTGATTGCTTAATTTCCATATAAACTTACCATAAACTTGACTAGGTAAAGCAGAAACGAGGCATTGTAAGTAGAATCACATAACATTTGCAAAATAACTTAGGAAAAAATAACATCTTATGTGTTGAATCTTGCTTTTCAAAAAAAAAAAAAAAGTCCTCAGGTTTTAGTGTCAGTTTTTGTGTAGTGATTTAAAGTTTTGCTTGTATTCATATTTCTTGCTATGTTTACTCATAAATATATGTTGACTTTTTGTTGCTGTTTTCATGAGTAATTTCTAATAAGGTAGAAGGCTGACTTAAGTTTCCTGTTTATATTTTTAATTTCAGCTACAAGCTATGAAATAAGAATGAGTAACAGTCTACAGAATATCCAAGATGACTTTAACAATGCTATTTTAGTAAATACATCAAAGCTAAATCCTCAGCACGCTGGCACCAGGGAGATATTTACGTTCTCACCCCAAATATTCACAAATGGACCTGAACATCAGCCCAATGGAGAAAATGAAAGCCACAGAATTTATGTTGCAATACAAGCAATGGATAGAAACTCTTTAAAGTCTGCTATATCTAACATTGCCCAGGCATCTCTGTTTATCCCCCCCAGTTCTGCTCCTGTGCGTGCTAGAGATTATCTTATATTGAAAGGAGTTTTAACAGCAATGGGTTTGATAGGAATCATTTGCCTTATTATAGTTGTGACACATTGTACTTTAAACAGGAAAAAGAGAGCAGACAAGAAAGAGAATGGAACAAAATTATTATAAAAAAAATTACAAACTGTCTTCCTTCTTAGATTTAAGACCCATGGCCTTTGACTACAAAAACATACCAACAAAGTCAAATTAACATCAAAACTGTATTAAAATGCATTGAGTCTCTGTACAATACAGATAAGATTTTTACATGGTAAATTGACAAATTCTTTTTTGTGGAAGATTAGAAAACCCTTAGACTTGGCTATGAAAAAATAATAAAAATTATTCTTCAAAGTAATGTCTTTAAGGCAAAGGCAAGGGTAAAGTTGGACCAGTGTGAAAAAAAAGTTTGTATTATTGAAGTGGAAAAATAGCCCCAAGTAGAGAAAAGGAGGGTAGGTCTGTATTATAACTGTCTGTGTGAAACAATCATTTAGTTACTTTGATTAATTTTTCTTTTCTCCTTATCTGTGCAGAACAGGTTGCTTGTTTACAACTGAAGATCATGCTGTATTTTATATATGAAGCATCCATTGTAAAGCTCTTTACCTCTTTCTATTTTGTTACATGTATTACAGATGAAATCCCACTGCTAATGCTCAGAGATCTTTTTTTCACTGTAAGAGGTAACCTTTAAAAATATGGCTATTACCCTTGTCTCTTCATATTGGTTTTGTAACAAAGGTCTATTGAATTTTTTTATAAGTTTCTACTCCCATCAAAGCAGCTTTTTATTGCCTTGGGTATTATTGGATGATAGCTATAGCCCTTATAATGCCTCAACCAAGGAATAAAAGACATTCTTCTGAGCTTGTTTTAATATATATATATGACCATATAGTTTTACTCAATTTCTACCAAAGAACAGGAGAGCAGGGAGACAACCAACCTTTAAAAATGATTAGCTAGCTCTGTTTTTTGGTTAAATAAGAGTCTAGAATCCTTTCTCCATCAAGAGTTACTTACCAAGGGCAGGGGAAGGGGGAAACAGAGGTCACAAGGAAATAAAAAACATCTTTCATCTAATTTTACTACTTCCTCTTATTTTTTAAAAAGGTTATAGAACAATAAAATCATTTGCCTTTTTAATTAAAGAGTTTAAAACTTTGTTGAAGAATACATGCAATAATGTAGACTAGATCTAAGTTTTATAACCAGGACCAATTAAAAATAAAAATTAGATTATGTTTTGGGGTGGTGGAAAGGGAAATGTGGGGAATTGGGACAGGAAGAAAGAGACAACATGAAGCCCTAAGTGAGAGACTCAGAGGAGTCTGAGATAAAGGGAGAAAAACAACCAGCAAATATCTCTACCTAGGCCGCCTACTTGTAGTTTATACTGACCCAGTGTCTGGCCTGTTACTTTCTAAGTCTCACAGTGCCTACATTTTCACAGATGGAAACTTCAAGACCCTTGCAGCTCAATTCCTAGCTGGCAGTCAATCCCTCCTCCCTCTATCACTATTACACTTGCTAGCATGGAATTTGCTTCTCTCTAGTTTCTAACTGGGCTAGTGAAACAGAGTTGGATTGTAGTGGGTTTCAAGTTCTCAATATTTTCCTCATTTTACAGACAGAAAATTGGAGGGTTCACTGAGTAATTTGAAGTTTTATACTGGTTAATGGCAAAGCTATATAGAGGTAGAGCCAGATTCTCAGACTACTCCTTTACTCCTATCTATTTAAGAAGGTATGGGCAGATGCCAGGGATTCTACCTAGAGATATTTGTTTCATGATAAGTTAGCAGGACAGCAGATCCAGCTTTAAAGAAACCTGGTGGGTTTTGTTGTTGATGTGGTTGTTGTTTGTTTTCCACTTTGTGGGTGCATGAGTGGAACAAATAGACTTAAGTCCAGAAATTAGTGAGTATAAAAGGCAAAACTAAGGGGTTCTAAAGATATTAAAGTAGCAAACAAATATAACAGGTTAGAAAGAGTGATCTCATGAAGTGCATAGGGTTAGGGTAAACAATGTTCAGTGATTGTAAGGAGTGAAAATATTAAACAAAAAGAAAGATGTAGGAAAACACAGATTTAGAGATTCTAGCAATCAATAGAACAGAGTCGAAGTAAAGGCCCTGTTGATTCTGAATACCTGATAAAAAATAGGAACAGTAGGGCATTTGGTCAAAAAGAATGAAAAACTCTGATGTGTTTACTGATCACTAGTGCAATACCATGATGTCAATACATGTGACATCATTAACAGTTTGACCTAAGATTGCAAGAGGAGGAAGACTGTGGGCCAGATGCACAGTTATCTGAGAGAAGGAAGTCTATGGAATTAAGACAATATGGGGCAGATATTATTGTCAAATTCCAGAATAGTCATTGTTACATAGTGGATAGAAATTTGTTCTGTAGGGGGAGGACTCAAGATGGCGCTGTGAGAACAACCCAGGATTGGAGCTCTCGTTGAATCTGCAAACGGTGAGTCGGAGCTGCATTTCCAGACTGATCTTTGTTGCCCACAGAACGGGGAAACTCCCAAGTATAAAAAAGACACGGGACGCCAGGCAGTAGGTCTGCCTGGCGAAGCCGGCAGCCGGGGCGGCGGCGGCCGGCCCTACCCAGCAATCCCCACAGGGTGCGCTTGTCCGGGTGCCCTGTTGAACTGGCAACCTGAGACTTGAGAGGGCTGGACTTGAGACTGAATGAGACTTGGACAGTAGGCCAGCCCAGGGGATTGCAGGGACAGATCGTTTGGGACACCCAGTGGGAGGAACAAAACCGCGATTTCAAACTATCCCGAGCAGACGGTCCGAGACGCTCTGTGGGGGAGGGGCATCCACCACTACCGAGGCAACCCGCCCCAACTGAGATACACGCCCACTGCTGACGCAGCCAGCCGTTGCCGAGGCAACCCATCCCTACTGAGATACACGCCCACTGCTGATGCAGCCTGCCGTTGCTGAGGCAACATGCTACAACGAAGACACTCCGCCGCAGGGCGTGGTGGAGACCACAGCAGAGCCTGCAGGAACAGGGCGAATCACACAACAGCAGGGCGGAGCCTCGGCAGGCAAACAGTGGCTAGTCTGCCTTCTAGCTGGGCAGGACACCTCATCGGACATCGAAAAATAAAGCCCGAACCCCCCAACACAGAGCATTTGAGAAAAAAAGGGTTTCTTTTAATGAGCTCTGTTGCAGCAGAATCAAACATAGCAGCCTAACAGCCCTGAATGAACAACAGAGGTCACAGTTCAGCAATTGAGCTCCAAAAAAGTACAGACTGTCTCCTCAAGCAGCTCCCTGACACCTCTATATCCAAAAGACTGACATTTGGCAGGCATCATCCTGGGACAAAGATAGCAGAA